ACTTCTGAGCCATTTTTCCATCCCCAAGACTGTGGATTTTCATGTATACCAGTTTTGATGGTTTAAATGTCCTTTTACTCAAAAAGCATTTTCAGTTGAGCTCTGAATGGATGCAGACTTGGAGTAACCCTTTATTTACCATGTTAGACATTAGTCATTTTGTTCTGTAGAGGATTAGTGAGCGTCAAAGACTAAACCAGGGGCTCCAGTACCATCCAAGCAGTAGCGTTACCTATCCTTAGGAGACATCCTAACACACAGGAAAGAGACAGAAGCAAACAGAATGCTGTGTGGTGCATGGGTAGAGCTGTGGGTGTCCATGAAAGGCAGCATCACCAGAGCTGGTTCTTGAAGGGTCGGGTGGGAATGCCTAGCTGAGTAGGGGCACTGGAGAAGGGAATCTGGTATTCTGGGGCAGGCAAGTAGATCTGTCCCCCTGATCAGGATTTGTCCAAGGGAATGGTAAAAGCAGGTCTTGGAAGAAATTGGGGATCAGTGTAGCCAGCTGGTTGTCATCACTTCATTTCCACCTAATGTTGCCAACTCCATCTGTTAGGATGTGTATGTGGTAGGCTCAGGGCATAGCCTCTACTCCCACTTCTTTTAGAGTCCAAGGCCAGGAACGTTATGCGTGTTCATGCCTCCATCCCTTCTGCTCCTGTCCTACATTGTCAAAGGTGAGCCTGCTCTGTTCTGTTGGGAGGCAGGGGTCATAGCAGGAAGAGCTCATTGTTCAGGCACCTCTCATGGGGTAGGTCTGTCCTTGATCAGCTACAGCCTGCCTTTCTCTTGCTGGCAGGCAGTTGAACCTCAGGCACAGAACGCAAGCCTTGTGTGTCCTTTCCACTCTGACTGACTCAGAACAAAAGTAGAGGAAATGTGCTTGATTTGAGGGCTTTTCCACCGCCCCCTGGCATCTCTGGCTTCCCCTTACTGTCTTTGGAGGCAGTTTACTGATCTTACCCTTTTTGAAGTGGCAGTGTTGCCCTGTTTCCTCTGTTCTGTGGTCCCAGGGTGTGTGAGGAAGAGCAGAAGGAAGAAAGGAATTCTTGTTCAGTTTCTGGGGCTTTTCTGGAACACATGCTTTTTGGAGGTGGATAGTATTCTCTGCTACTGGAGAAAAGAACTGAAACTATCCCATAAAGATCTGTGTAACCTTTGGTCCTCATGGAGAGTGAATAGATTGGCAATTTCAAGGTTAGTGGGGCTTTCCTGATTCCTCCAGGAGGGAATGTCTGTGACTAGCAACATTGTCTTCACTGTCCCTGACTAAGACAGCAATTAACAAGTTATCAGAGGCAACCTCTTCTACCCCAGAAATTGAATCAAAAGTGCTTGCAGTGGAGACAGGAGTCCTTACAGTTTTTTATGTTACTAATTTTTAACTGGTAAATGTTGCCCTGTTCATGCAGTGATCTTTCATGTGGCTTTATTGGCACTGGGAACAGCGCCTATGGAGTTCTTTGTTCTCATGCCCCTGCCTGCTTCTCATGGCAGGTGCTAAAGTTTCTGCTATTGGGGCAATCCATAAACTACTCAGCGATGTTTTTAAAGGCAAAGTGTGGGTGTAGGAATGAAAATATATACCTTTATATATTTGGCCATGGCAAATATTACAGCACATGCCTGTAATTCCATCACTGTAGAGCCTGAGACCTGAGACTAGAAGATTGAAGCAAATTCAATGTTGCCCTGGCCAACAAAACACTTGGGGAGATCCCATCTCAAAACAAAGCCACATAGTGAAACCTTGTCTAAGGGGCGTGTGTGAGAGTATGTGTGCGTGTGTGTATCCTCAAGCTCTAACATCAATGAGTTTTTGTATCAACTTGTCTGATCTTGTTGAAACTGAAGAATAAAATAGAAAGGGGGAAATTGGAGAGACAGGTTTATACTAAGTAATATTTGAACAGGGGTGGTGACATACAAACCTTTAATCAGGAGGCAGAGGCAGGTGGATCTCTGAATTGTAGACCACCCTGGTCAATAGAGCAAATCTCAGGGCAGCCAGGACTACATAAAATCACCCTGTTTCAAAAATATAAAATTAAAAAAGAGAAATGTTTAGATTTAACATGTTATGATGGCAACCACTGCCTTCAGGCTATGTCATGGTTATGGGAGCCAGCTCTGTTTTAGCACAGAGGAGGGACCTATCATTAGCTAAGTTCCATGATGGGTTTCAGTTCAGAAAATGCAGGAAGGAAGAGAGGGAAAGAAAAAAAAGGAAGGAAGGAAGGAAAAGAAAATGAAGGAAGGAAAGCAAAGAAAGAAACAAAGAAAGAGCCCCTCTGCCCCAAGATAGTTTGTTATTGGGAGATGCTGAACAGGTTATTTCAGCAGTGTGCTAAGCAAACCATTGAGTTAAAGTAGGTGACAGATGATACCTCTCCCTCCAAGGCCTTTAGCCCAGAATAGACAGAAATGTATTGCAATGTCCTGTGGACCACAGGAGTGCAGTGCCTATGGAGGCCAGAAGAGGGTGTCAACGTACCTGGAGCTGGAGTTACTGGCAGAGTGGGTGCTGGGAGCTGAAGTCAGGTCTCTGCTAAAGCAGTGATCACTCCTTTGTTTTTGTTTTTTTGAGATAGTGTTTCTTTGTGTAGCCCTGGCTGTCCTGGCAGACTGGCCTCGAACTCACAAAGCTCCATTGCCTCTGCCTGAAGGTGTAAGCAATGCATCATCTTTCCATCCCCAAAGAACAGTGTTTACCCATGGTGTCAAAATGTTTTAGATCATGCCTTCTTTAAAATAACTCAAAGCCCAGGTTAGATGTTGGGATGAGCTAACCCAAAGCCCTGGATCTGGGCCTGGATGCAGGTCACCTGAGTGTCACAGCCAGCAAAGGGCAGGGCCAGCTCACCTGCTCGCACTCCCTTCGGGCTGGCTCTCACCCATGCCCCTGCCGCCAGGACCGTCTCTACTGTGCTGCTCTGGTGGGGTGCAGGCCACTTTCCCAAGTGCTATAGTTGGTGAAAGGTGGGACCAGCTCTTTTGCTTGGCTCTCTTTTTTGTGTGTGTTTTTTTGTTTGGTTGGTTGGTTGGTTTGCGGGGGGGGGGGGATTAAAGACAGGGTTTCTCTGTGTAGGCTGGCTGCCTTGAAGCTGGATCTGTAGACCAAGCTGGCCTTGAATCAGAGTTCTGTCTGCCTCTCCAGTGCTGGGATTAAAGGCGTGCACCACCGCCACCTCCAGGCCATTAAGTACCTCTAAATTCCAAATGAGATGAGAGGACATGAAACTTTGTTTGGAGTACAGTAACTTGAACTAGCTCATTGTATTTCTTAGATTTTTCTAGTTGAACTAAGAGGCTTCCCCCAGGAAGGCAAAATTTTGCACTGAGAAATAATATAGAATAAAGAAAAACAGATTGTGGGGCTTGGGATGTGGCCCAGTGAGTGCTTGTTTGGCATGAAGCAAGCCCTGGTCCCATCCCCAGCAGCCCACTGGGCATGGTCACTCACAACTGTAAGAGTTAAAAGGTGGAGGCAGTAGGTCAGAAGTTCAGTGTCATACTTTGTTAGCTAAACAGCAAGTTTGAGGGCAGCCTGGGCTGCATGAGACCCTTTCTTAACAAAGAAAAGAGAATAATAGTTTTGAGGGAGAGAGAGAGAGAAATGTTAGGTGGTGGTGGCTCACACCTTTGATCCCAACCCTTGAGAGGCAGAAACTGGAGGACCTCTGAGTTCAAGGCCAGCCTAGTCTACAGAGCCAGTTTTAGGACAGCCAAGGTTTCACAGAGAAACCCTGTCTCAAAAAAAACAAAAAAATAAAAATAAAAATTTTAATTTATTCTATGTGCTTGAGTATCTTGCCTGCATGTGTATCTATGCACCTGTGTGTCCTTGATGCCATGAAGTCCAGAAGATCCCCTAAAAGTGAAGTTACATGTTGTGAGCTACCATGTGGGTTCTGCGAATTGAACCCAGGTCCTCTTAAAGAGCGGTGCTCTTAACTGTTAAACCATATATAGCCTGGTAGAGTTGTTTTGTTTTCTTTTTTTTATTTTAATATTCCAGTATTTTCTGACCCCTACATATTAGGACACATTACTTTGACCATAATAACAGTGAGATACCCAGGGGGCTGGAGAGATGGCTCAGAGGTTAAAAGCACTGTCTGCTCTTCCAGAGGTCCTGAGTTCAATCCCCAATAACTACATAGTAGCTCACAACCATCTCTAATGAGATCTGATAACCTTCTTCTGGTGTGCAGACATACAAGCAGGCAGAATGCTATATACATAATAAATAAATAAATCTGAGAGAGAGAGAGAGAGAGAGAGAGAGAGAGAGAGAGAGAGAGATGCCCAGTGAGAAATTGGGGGAAATAGCAATGGTCATTTCAAAACTAAAAGCCTGGAAAGGTATGTTCCTGTGAGATCTTCCTTCCTTCCTTTTTTTCTCCCTTCCCCCCTTCTCTCTCTCTTTCTTGTTTGTTTGGATAGGGTCTCATGGGGCTCAAGCTGGTCTCAAACTCTGTGTATATTTGAGGCTGCTCTTAGACTAAGTCATGACAAGGTTATAAGTCAGTTAAACCCATCACAAGTTGAAAATGCACTTAACATACTTGGCCTCCCAGACACCACACAACACAGCACACAGAATGGTACACAGTGTCCACCATTATTTCTGTGACCATGAGACTGCCTGGGACCTGAGGTTCACTGTATTGCGTAGCATTCTCACAAGCCTTTAAAGACCAAATTTCAGAGGAGGATTTGCACTGACTCTGGGCCACTGCAGCACCATTGTAAACTTAAGCCAAGGTAAGTTGGTACCTTTTACGATGGGTCCCAATCCACCCCACTTTCCAAAGAAAGCTGAGTAACTTTCTCCATGTTGGTTATGAAGATATGTAAATCAGTAATGAATCTCTGAGACCTGAAAACCCAGCCTCTCACCCTTACCCTTCTGCTGTGTGACATTGGTTCCCTTTAAGGAAACATGGTCTGTGGGTATGCTCCTAAATCCTAACTGTGGTACTGTTGTCTTCTCCTAGGGTCCTATCCTTCCCCCAAAGCTGGGGCCACTCTGGTCGTGTACAAGGACTTACTAGTGCTATTTGGTGGCTGGACAAGGCCAAGCCCCTATCCCTTACACCAACCAGAGAGATTCTTTGATGAAATTCACACATACTCACCATCTAAAAATTGGTAAGCCACAAAGATAACCCATTCTATATCTGGAATAAATAGATTTCATTGTATTACATTTTAGTTATTTTGTATGGGGGTGGGGGTGCATGCCACAACATGTGTATGGAGGGCAAAGGACAGCGTCTGGAACCATTTCTGCCCTTTAACCATGTGAATCCTAGGGATCAAGCTCAGTTTGTCAGGCTTGGCAGCAAGTGCCTTTGCCCATAAGGCTGTCTTGATGACCCAAAAATAGGGTTGAAATAAATGGTTTCTTCATTTTTGTGTGTTAAGAATCTTTCTTGGAGAGGGTAGCGAGATGGCTCTATGGTTAAGAGTGCTTCCTCATGTGGCAGAGGAATAGCGCTTACTTCCCAGAACCCTGCTTCAAAGGATCCAGCACCCTCACACAGTCACATAGGCATACGTAAATATATAAATAAATATTTTTGAAAATTATTAACAATCTTGAAAAAATCTTAACCAAACAACAGAATCCCTTGGAGAGTTTGATTGATAGAAACTCTAAAGATTTTTCCAGGCTGAGGGTGTACAGCAAGAGCTTGCTTATGGATTGAGATGCTTTGCAGAGTGTCCTTTGGACATTAAGAACCTTTTCCCCCCAGGAGCAAAAGGAGAAGAGCTGGTTCTCTTCTGAGGAAAGTGGACAGGCCAGTTGGAGAAGGAGCCGTCAGCTTCAGCAGCTCCTTTCCAGGAGCACAGGGTTATTGTGAACACAAGGGACCCTGTGTACTGTTCTTTCTCAGAAACCTCTGTCTTATTTTGTTTTGGTTTAGTTTGGTTTTTTGAGAGAGGGTCCTCTCTACATTGCTCTGGCAGTACTGGAACCTACTCTGTAGATCAGCTGCCCTCAAATTCACAGAAATCCTCCTGCTTCTGCCTCTTGAGTGCTGGGATTAAAGGTGTGCACCACCCTACTTGCCAAACATGTCTCTGTTTTTGTTTTGTTGTTGTTTTATTTTGTTTTGCATTGGTGTCTTGCCTACACATATGTCTATGTGAAGGTGTCAGATCATCCTAGGACTGCAGTTACAGGCAGTTGTAAGTCACCATGTGGGTATTGAGAAATAAACCCAGGTCCTCTTTGGAAGAGCTCCATTGCTCTGATTGCTGAGCCACTTCTCCAGCCACTAGACATGTCTTTCTTAATGATGGTAATCATTAATCAGATAGAATGGCAGGTAGAAATTTCTCAGCAAACCAGGCTGAGAAAGCCACAGAATCATATTTTGTTCTATGGTGGTCTTCTCTTCCTTGGCTGTTTGCAGCCATATTGAGAACTTGGATGTAACTTGAAGAAGGAAGCTCCTGGGAAAGGTGCAAACACCCTGCGCTCTGCTCCTTTTCTTGTCCTGTCACTGTTAGAAAGGTACAGCCTGTCTTTCTTAGTGGCCCAACTACTGCTTGTGTCTTATGCTTGCAAGATGCAGCAGATGGCCCTGACTTCTGCCTCCTTCCGCCTGCTTCCCGTAGGTGGAACTGCATCGTCACCACACATGGGCCCCCTCCCATGGCTGGCCATTCCTCCTGTGTGATAGGTGATAAGATGATTGTCTTCGGTGGCTCTTTAGGATCCCGGCAAATGTAAGTGTTTCTGGTTTGCTTCAGGCTAACATGAAGAAACTCCTGGGCATGATAGGCCAGAAAGGTGAACACAGCCATGTCCCTGAACATAGTTCTCCTTAACCCAGTTAGTTACTTCACCCCAGCGTCCCTCCATCACAGATCAATAGGTTGAAAAAATTGCTTCATGAAGTCAAAGGTTAAGTAGAATTTTATTCTGTTTAATACAATGGGATCAAGTTCTTGTGAAGTCTCCTTCTTGTCTACTGTCTTGTACCTATAGAAGGCCGTCTTCCATGCAGCAGGATGCTTCATTGCCCAGCTCAGGTCCTTCAGGAGAAGGAGAGAGGTATATACACAAGATGGGTAGAAATTATGGACTCTCCAAATTGGATAGGAGATTAGGAGAGTATGTAAAAAACTCTCAGGGAGGTTGCTCCTCATCACTGCCCGTTCTCTGTTGCTCATGCTGGAAGTCAATATCCAAAACAGCAAGTCCATCTGCATCACTGGTATGAGTAGGAGCCACGGGAGTTTTCTGTATACTCTGAATAAGATGGGGAGTTAATGAACTATCAAGAAAGTCATTGCAGCTCAGCTTGGTGGCACACACCTTTAGCACCCGGGAGGCAGAGGCAGGCATATCTCTGTGAGTTGAGTGCCAGCCTGGTCTACAGAGTGAGTTCCAGGACAGCCAGGGCTATAAAGAAAAACTCTTTCTCAGAGAGGGAGAGAGAGAGTCATTGCAGACCCAAGCTTACCCTGTGACAGGGCTCACAAGCTTCATGTTTTAAAATAGCTATGGAGAAACCCAGCACAGTGGCTTATACCGATAATCACACCACTTAGAAAGGCAGAGGCACATGGAGCTCTATGAGTTCAAGGTCAGCCTGGTATAAAGGGAGTCCAGGACAGCCAAGGCTACACAGAGAAACTCTACCTCAGAAATAAACAAACAAGTAAATAAATAAATAAATTTAAAAATCACACACACATGGGCTAGAGAGCTGGCTCAGAGGTTAAGAACACTGATTGCTCTTCCAGAGGTCCTGAGTTCAATTCCCAGCAATCACAACCATCTAGTGTCCTCTTCTGGCTTCAGGTATACATGCAGGGCAGAATATTGTATACATAATAAATAAATCTTTAAAAAAAATTACACACACACACACACACACACACACACACACACACGAGTTCAGGGCCATCCTTTTCTACATAGCAAGTTTGAGGCCAGCCTATGAAGATCTGTTTTTAAAAATGCAAGATGATACAAAACAAAAAAATTAAAATATGAAGAGAAAAATATAAAATATGAAAAGAAACAAAAGAAACCGCCCTCTAGATAAGAGGGCTTAGGATTTAAGTTTGGGAGTACTTATTTTATATCATTTTATGTAAATAGAAGACCTTAAAGAGATACCTACAAACTGGAGATAGACAGCCAGGAACCTGTCATTGCTATGCTTCTTTTCTTTTCTTTTTTTCTTTTTGTTTGTTTGTTTCTTTCTTTCTCTCTTTCTTTCTTTCTTTTTTTTTTTTTTTTTTTTTTTAGTTTTTTAAGACAGGGTTTTTCTTTGTGTTTCCCTGGCTGTCCTGGAATTACTCTGTAGACCAAGCTGGCCTCAAACTCACAGATCTGCCTGCCTCTGCTCTGCCTCCCCAATGCTGGGATTAGGGGTGGGTGCCACCACTGTCTGGCTCTCTTTTCTTTTCTTTTCTTTTCTTTTCTTTTCTTTTCTTTTCTTTTCTTCTCTCGCTTTTTTCTCTCTCTCTCTTTTTCTTTCTTTTGACAAAATCTTGCTTGTAGCTCTGTCTAGCCATGAATTCATGCAATCCTTGCCTCATGAGTGCTCGGATTGCAATGGGGGATGGCCAAGAAAAGGCCATGCTACTCCTTTCTTTCAGCAGAGAGATTTGGTGTTTTGAGACCAGGTCTCTGACTGGCCTGGGTTTTATGTAGAGCAGGCTGGTCTCGAACTCACTTCAGTCTACCTGCCTCTGCCTAAGATTAAAGGTGTGTGCCACCATGCCCATCACTGCTGCCTTCTGGAGAAGAGTTGAGTATAGCAGTTGGCTCCTAATAAAAACTACAGCTTTTGTGAGCCACTGTGAAATATTCTTTGTTATCATCATCAATAGAGCTTTCTTAGCTTTTGTACAGTGATAGATGCCTTCAGAACCACTTTTTCTTTCTTGTTTTTGTTTTTGGAAGGTGATTACTTGACCAGCAGCTGCCTCCAGCTATCACTGATGAGCTTGTTCTTTAGGTCCAGAATGTAGCTTCACATTCAACTCAGCTAAGACTCATGGCCACAGAGAAAAGAAAGGTTGAAAAATCTCAGGACAGGTTCAGGGCTGACTGTGTGATTAAGATGCCTATGTGATAGAACTGCTCACTTTCTTGAGCATTCTCTCACTCTCTGGTTTTTGAGACAGTGTTTCTCTGTGTAGCCCTGGCTGTCTTGGAGCTAAGAGATCCACCTGCCTCTACCTCATGAGTGCTGGGATCAAAGGCGTGTGCCACCATACCCGGTGTCTGTAGTTCTGTAGAACAGTAGTGTTTCTGTTTCATAGGAAAGGAAACCAAAGGTAGAGAAAATAAAGTTTTTTGTTTAGTCTGCAAATGTAGGGTTCAGCTACAGTCTTTTTTTCTTCTAAAGCCCCTAGACTCTGAGGAAACCATCTCTGAAGCCTCCTCCAGCCCAGACAGGCTGTGTGTGTGAAAATGGTGTAAGTCTGCCAGCTGGGTACAGGCACCAGAATCTCCCAGCCACTACTGTCTCTCTGGAGCTCCCAACTTCCTTATGACTGTGTTCTTATCTCACAGGAGCAATGAAGTCTGGGTCCTTGACCTGGAGCAGTGGGCGTGGTCCAAGCCGAACATCTCTGGCCCCAGTCCTCATCCCCGAGGTGGCCAGTCTCAGGTGCTAAAGAGTTTAACTATTGAGCAAGCACTGTAGTGTCTTTATGGGAGTGAGGTGAGGTCCCTGTGTAGTGAGCCAAAGAGAATTTCTCACTTTTTCTCTGTGCTGTTTGTTCTCAGCTTTTATTGTGCTGTATTACTTATAGTGACCTCAGTGAGGATTTTATTAAGAATTCTGCATTTCTATGGTTAACACTTGTTACTTGTGTTACTATTTTTTCAAGTTATGTGTCTGTTCAGGAGTCATCGGTTCAAGGGTAGAATTGACATGGCTTGGGTAGAGTGGGCAGCTGGGATACTCACTTAGGAGCTCAGCATGACATTTGTGTATGTCACTGAAGCATGGGAAGTCAGATGCCTGTGACCTTGTGGATTTATTTTAAATTTCTTTGTCTTCCCAGATTGTTATAGATGATGCAACTATCCTAATCCTTGGTGGGTGTGGCGGTCCCAATGCTGTGAGTATTACAGTGACACTTGCTTCAGCTGCTGAGTGCTGAAACCATGCTTATCCTGCTTGTTTACTAGGACACAGAGTCTTCTTTTGGCATGCTGACTTAGAGAATGTCCTTTCCACTTTGAGGAGACAGCTTTTGTATTTTCTGCCCTTTACTCTTTTTTGGGGGGGTGGGGAGTGGATTGAAAGGTGATTTTAGTCAGAAACATTGGTCTCTTAAATACTCATTTCTCAGTTCTTTCTATTTCTGTTTCCTCTTTTAAGTTATAAGGTTTGCCAATATTATTTGTTTTGCAGGGGCAGTGAGATAGAAAAATAGGTAGATAACTGAGATGCACATAGAATTTACTTAAGAATGCACACTGAAGCCGAGTGCGATGGTGCACACCTATAACCCCAGCACTCGGGGAGGCAGAGGCAGGTGGATCTCTGTGAATTCGAGACCAGCCTGGTCTACGAGTAAGTCCAGGACAGCCAAGACTATACGGAGAAACACTGTCACCAAAAAAAAAAAAAAAAAAAAAAAAGGAAAGAAAGAAAAAAAATGTAGACTGAGAAAGTTAGTAGATTATTATCTTTCCCCTACACACACACACACACACCGGTTATAGTTGATGTGTGAATCACAAGAACAACTCTGTTTCAGGACAGTCAGTGGCCGTGTATGAATGAATGGAGGCAGAAGTCATAGCTAAATGAATACCTGAGGACTTTAGGATGTCCACCCTGCAAAGCCCACACACTTTAAACCAGGCAGTACAGCTTTAAGACAGTAATTCTGTCACACAATAAATTAATTAAATTAAGTAAGTAAATAAGTAAATGTACAGCAGTTCTGAGTGACATGGCAGTTCGTGTGTGCTGAAGCACATGCCAGTGCTGAGTTCTGTCGTTGGCCCTTCTCTTACAGCTGTTCAAAGATGCCTGGCTACTGCACATGCACCCAGGTCCCTGGGCCTGGCAGCCACTCAAGGTAGAAAATGAAGACCATGGAGCCCCAGAGCTCTGGTGCCATCCAGCCTGCCGGGTAAGTAGGGAATGAGCAGCCATCAGGAAATACCCTAAATTGGAAAACCAAATTAATTTTTTAAGCTTTAAGAGAAATGTGTACAGAAGTAGGAAACAGTTTGTTGTCATGTGCTCTTTTAGTATTTCCCACGACCATGAGCTGCTTGATTGGAGGTGCATATCATTTCACTTGTAGCTTTAAGCATCCATTTGTCTACAGAATGTTTTCCAGAGTCCCTCAAACCGACACCCCTATTCCACAGCCATAACTGATAACCTCACATTGTAGCAACAGTTATTCTTGTCTACTTGCCTTTCTAGCCAACATGACTGTTACTTTCATTTCCGTGGATCAGATCTACAAAACACCTGGCCCATTCCCAGTGGCCGTGTTAGAAAATTTGATAGTTGCATGAATGATCAGAACAGAGGGCGAGGGTGTGAGCACGAGTCCTTTGTCTTCCAGGTGGGACAGTGTGTGGTGGTCTTCAGCCAGGCTCCTAGTGGGAGAGCGCCCCTCAGCCCCAGTTTGAACTCTCGCCCATCACCTATCAGTGCCACTCCTCCAGCCCTGGTTCCCGAAACCCGAGAGTACCGCTCCCAGTCCCCAGTGAGGAGCATGGATGAAGCTCCTTGTGTTAATGGCCGCTGGGGAACACTGAGACCCAGGGCTCAGAGGCAGACTCCTTCAGGTTCCCGGGAAGGGAGCCTCTCCCCAGCCAGAGGAGATGGCTCTCCCATCCTCAATGGTGGAAATTTGTCTCCAGGAACAGCAGCTGTTGGGGGTACTTCCTTAGACAGCCCTGTACAGGTGGTATCTCCAAGCACTCCATCTGCCTCTGAAGGGTATGACTTAAAAATGGGACTTTCTCTGCCCCCCCGACGAGGGTCTCTACCAGATCAGAAGGACCTGAGGCTAAATTCCATTGATCTGAATTGGGACCTGAAGTCTGCTTCCAGTAGCAGTCACGTGGATAGCACAGACAACAGGACAGTTGCAGGGAGTGTGAGACACCCTCCAGAACAGACCAATGGTGTTCACACCCCACCACACGTGGCCAACGCGCTTGCAGGGGCTGTATCTCCTGGTGCCCTGCGTCGGAGTTTGGAAGCCATCAAAGCAATGTCATCCAAAGGCCCCTCAGCCTCAGCTGCACTAAGTCCTCCTCTTGGGTCTTCTCCAAGCTCCCCTGGGAATCAGAGCCTGAGCAGTGGAGAAACAGTACCCATCCCCCGCCCAGGACCAGCCCAAGGAGATGGTCATTCCTTACCCCCCATTGCTCGACGCCTGGGCCACCACCCTCCACAGTCCCTCAATGTTGGCAAACCCCTGTACCAGAGTATGAACTGCAAACCCATGCAGATGTATGTGCTGGACATTAAAGATACCAAGGAGAAAGGCCGGGTCAAGTGGAAAGTATTTACTAGTAGTTCTGTGGTTGGACCTCCTGAAACCAGCCTGCACACAGTGGTGCAAGGCAGAGGAGAGCTCATCATATTTGGAGGGCTCATGGACAAGAAGCAGAATGTGAAGTACTATCCAAAAACAAACGCCTTGTACTTTGTGCGAGCAAAGAGATAATTTGTTCGAAATCCCTTCCCTTTCTGTGGCTTTTAATTTGGAATTTTCCAGTGTACAAGCATTTGGACCGAGACTTGGGAAAAACATGACTCCCATAAACCAAAACTCCTAATTCCACGCCTGTCATTCCAGGCTGGGATCAAATCTCCATTAAGGAAAAGATTATATATATATATATATATATACACACACACACACAGATATATTATATAGCCAACTCTGTTTACAAATAAAGGGGAGATCTTCATCCTGGTTCAGATCAGCTGTTGCTGTCTTAGGAGAGGCTGTGCTGGCCTTTTCTACTCTGCTGGTAACTAGACCAGGAAGTAAGGGGACAGACTGACACAGTAACTTCCCACAAGAAGCTGAAGAGCCCCTGTGACCTTTCTGTGGCCTTCTCAGAGTCAGAAACAATGGGCCTAGACAGGACACCAGGAAGAGGCTTCAGCCACAGGGCTGCAGGGTCAGTCACAGAAAACAGTTCTTCCCCTGTTCCTGCTTAAACCACAGAGTACCTGTGGTGGCTCTGCAGAAGCACCTTGTGCCCTGTCCCTTCTGCCCTCTGATCCAGAGAAATCACCCAACAAGAAGTACTGTTCCCCACATGCTGGAGTCATCCATCTGTCTGCCTCCTTCCTGTCCATTGGTCTTTTTTTGTTCTCCCTATGTCTCAGCAAACATTCAGTGTCTGATTATGGAATTTTCTGACAATCGTGTTTGGTTGCAAGTTGCCAAAAAACATACTTGTTTTTCTTTTAGAATTGTCCTCAGAGGCCTCTTGTCTGTCTGTAGGCTGCTCCCCTGTCTTTTGGTGGTTTGGTTTGGGATGTTGTTTTATTTTGGGTATTTGGCCTTTTTTTTTTTTTTAAAGCCCCAGAACTTTTGTCATTTCTGCCTCTCTCACAAAACTCTAGTGTCCGTAGAAATCAAACCTTTAGAGTCTTCCCAACATCCCTGAGGCCAGTCCGGATTCACTGAAGTGTGCTGGTACATACTTACCTCGGGGCAGAGGCAGGATGATTTTAGATTTGGGGCTAACCTGGGTTATATGATGAGACTCTTCTCAACAAGACAAAATTAAGAATGCAGTATCATTTACAAAAAAAAAAAAAAAATCTGTGAAGGGAGTTTTGGATAGCTTGATTGATACGGCTCCTGATCCTGAATCTGAGAGTCCAGGGTTCAGTTCCCTGCTACCTTTCAAGGCAGCCCCTGGAAGTTTAAGAGTGGGTCAGAAGTCAAACAAAAGAGAGCATTGAGAAAAATAAAATGAAACCAAAAAAATCTTTGAAGAATTAAGAAAAATAAAATGAAACCAAAAAAATCTTTGAAGAATTAAAAGACACCCCCACCCCCAAGGCAAGGTCTCAATATGTAGCTCACAGAGATCCTCCTGCCTCTGCCTGCCACTTGTGACACAACCTTCTGTGATGTTGACAGGTGAGCAGCTTGAGTATCATGCCCTTGACCTTGGAGCAGCTCCATCCTTCATGACTTGCTCTTGTGTCCCCCAAACAGGGTTTTTGTTTCTACTTTCACTTCATTTCCTAGATAAAGTACAACCAACCAGGAGAGTATTTATTTTGTTTAAAGAGAAAGCTGTAAATTAGTAGTCTCTAAGCCATAGCCTGGACATAGGAGACATCAAAATAAGATGGCCATGCAACTATCGATCTTGGTGGTTTCTCATCAGTAGGTAAAGGATTTTTATTTTGCCTTTAAAACTGAAATTGAAACAACAAATGTGTTTCCCAGCCCCACTCTCCTTTTTTCTTGTCAGTGTCTCCTAAGCACAAGCCCGCTGCAGCTGGCCCTGGGTCCTGGCTCACAGCCAGCACTCTGCCTGTCAGACAGGTGTGTGTCTCTGCTTCTTGTTCTTCTGCCCTGAGCCAATAGCTTTGCTCTGGTGGTCTTGGCAGGAGTGTCCTCGATTTGAAGCCCAGGAAAGGGCCTGCCCTTGAGGCATGTGCTCTGGAACACCCCTGTGCCTACTTCCTGTGTGTCCTACACTCCAGCTCCCTGCTGTGTTGCTGTTGCCAGTCCTTTGGCTGAGACTGTTCGATACTGTGGGGTCCTGACTTAAGAGGCAAGGCCAGCAGATAAGCAGCCTGGTGTTGCTGAAACTGTCATGCTGTTTTTGTGTGGAGGGTGCCTCTGCACTTGGTTTCTACTCAAACATCAAGTATTAGGACACTTGAAAGTTCAGAATCTCCACTTTGTAGTCTTTCTCTTTCCCCTGTGGCCTTCCTCAGCTGGGTGGCTGTCAACTGTTGATTCTTCTACTCTTCCCAAGTAGGCAGGCAACAGAAATACTAACCTCTTAGAAAGTTACAGGTTCCTCTGTACTCTGGAGTTTGGAGGATGCCTACAGTGCTGAGAGCCAGGTGTCTGCAGTCCCTCCAGAGAAAACAGAATGAGCCTTGACTGCACCCAGCCGTGTAGGACTTGGCGGTCCCCGAGCACTGTGGCTTTGTGCTGTGGGAAGTGACTCAACAGTGAACGTGGTGGTCTCCTCAGCCCCTTAAGGATATGTGTGTAGTAGGACTTTGGTGTCTCAGCAGAGGTCAGCATTCCTACAACCATCAGTTCAGATTCAACCACAACTCCTCTTTTGACATGATACCAATTTTGTCTTAAAATTCACTGAGAGACATGAGACAAAGTATTTTGTTTGAACCCTCAGGAGCACCTAAAGAAAATATTTATCAGTATTTAAATATTTAAAATACATCTTGTTTCTACTTGAAGCTTTAACCCTTTCCATTCCTGCAAGTGTGCCTTTGAGAGCCCTCGGTCAAATAAACTTCAGTCATTTTGCTGGCCTCATATGAGAATTCTGGGCACTGTTCTGCTCCTGCACAGAGCTTCCTGTTCATGCATTCTGCATACCATGCAGCAGAGAGCATTCGTTTTCATTCCTGTTTCTGCCTTTCTTGCTTGCTTTGGATGAGGCCGCCACAGCACCCCTACCCTCCCCCGCATTTTGGAAGCACCAATAAGGTATAGAAACGAAATTTTGTGTAAGATAATGCTGGGCTTGCCCTCCCAGCTTTCTGTGGGTTAATTGATTCTAATATTTGAGCAATAGCAAGAACTGAAACCATGAACTGTGGAAGAATGAACGGTCTTGGAACTCCTTAAAGAAGAGAAGAGAGGAGAGGAGAAAGCATCATTACAGGAAGGCTCAACTTTGGAGGACAAAAAGCCACTGGCAACAGAACAAGATCCTCTCTTCCTTTACTTTGTCTTTCTAAGTTCCTTCTGCTTTGCTTTTTTCTTTCCCCTTCAAAGTGAATCACCTGCTCGGTCTGTCCGTCTGTCCTCGTCCTCATGGTGACTCCGGCATGGTGAATACTCTGCTTTGTGTTATCTATGGTCTCACCAGCACACAGGACAGTGGGAAGGATCTGAAGGGTCCAGGGTAAGGAAGCCTGGCCTCCAGTACTGCCGAAGGCAGTGTTGCTGTTACCAGTAGGTGGCCTCTCACCGCCATCTTTGTGAATGAATGAATGCCAACCACTTTGGCCCCACTGTGCTCGCTCTGCTTGCTCTGACCCCTCCTACCAACCAGGGCTCATATCAGTGCACGCCCACTGTGCCCTGGCAAAGCTGGTGCTGTGAGTGATGTTTCCCATATAACTCAGGGGTGCCAGGTGGCTCGCCCTGATAGTCATTTTAGGCACATCACAGTGTAGGAATGAAAGTGGAATTCATGGATATTTAAATCTGTCAACTTCATTTTTGTTAATGTCCCCCCCCCCATGACTTTTTAGCAGTTTAACAAATAAAACAAAAATGGACTGAATTGTCTTAACTACTTTATTAGTACAGGAAAGAAAGAGGAAAAGTCCTTTTTTCACATCCTTCAAAGTGAATCGCCTTTGAGGGATGGAGGGCAGTGGGAGGAACAGGGTGGTTAGGACGTTGTGTTTGCTGAGAGGGGTTGTTGCTCTTGTCCCCACCATGCCTAAAGGACTTGGCATTGCAGATCCTCAATCTCACCCTGACATGGAGACCCAAGGGAAGTGAGGAGAGTTGTGCAGGGGCCCAGGACAGCCTTTTCACTATCACTGGCCTGAGCAGAGGTGAGGACCCAGGACAGGGTGGGTCTTTAAGCAGCACAGCAAATAGGGTTTGCATACTGCTCCCCCTGTTTCCTAGCTTACCCTGGGTAAAGCAGGTAAGTAAAGCAGGTCTTACCAGCTGTGGTGTAGTTGTCTCTGCCCTGTAGGATCAGGAAGATGCATTGGAGGTGGAAGGAAGTGTGCTGCCATTGTGCACAGCATAGCTACGTGCAGTCCAAGTACTCCCCAGCCAGTGGTGCCCCCCCCCCCCATTTGTGTGTAAATTGCCAGGAAGAGAGACTATGAAGAGTGACCAGCCCAGGTCACCACCCTGAACCTAAGCCTTTATTTTCTGGGAACCTGAGAAAGGTCCCTAAAACTAGTAAGCCTAGAGCACCTTGGGTCTGGGCAACATAGGAGTCCCTACCTCCAGACCCAGCAGGCTGGCCTTGTGTGAAGCTGCCACACAGGCTTGGGGCTGCCCCTTCCACCTCCTCCAGCCCACAAGACAGCATCCCCCAGCTGTAATTAGCCCTTCTATAGTATAGCCAGGGGTTGGGTGTGAGGAACAATTTCACTGATGCTGGGAGTGTTTGAGCAGGGACTGATAGTTTCAGGGGAGGGGCTGATCCCTGGCCCATGCATGGAATCTGGAGTGAGATCTCCATGCCCTTTCAACTCTCGAAACTTGGCTTGTTGGACTCAGAGGAACTTAGAAGTAAGAGGGGTTAATACAGGCTTTGACCAGGACAGACTTGGCACCAAAGCTGGTGCCGTCAGCCGAGCTGGCCCAAGCTTTCTCACTTCTTTCCAGGCCACTCAGCTTTGTCAGTAAAAAGGGAGTGGGGAGCTCGCCTTCTGCCAATGAAGCTGGAACCAGGCAAGGCTCACACATTGGAGTGGATGTTATTCCTTAAAAGAGCCACTTGGGGGAGCCCTAGGAAAGGTTTTGCATCTGTGTGCATCCAATGCAAAGCTATGGGGAAACAGACAATGACTTTCCCATTGTTTCTTTCCGTTTTGAAACCCTGGCTGGCCTTCCCTGCCTAGCCTGCATCAACTACAGAGTACCACCGCATGCTAACCCTTACTGGCACTGCACAGCAAACCCCAGCCTCCAGCTACGGGAAAGGTGGTATCCCTCTGAAGCTGCGCTCTGGGCCGCAGATGCTGTCAGTCTATACAAAGTCAAGCTAGTGTCTTTGGTAAAGACCTAGACTCCTGGCGTCTGAAAACAGCTGGCAAGAAGGCATACACTGGCCGGGGCATAGTAGAAAGGTAGTTGCTGGGCAGTGCTGGCACACAGCTTTAATCCCAGAGGTAGAGGCAGGCAGATCTCTGAGTTCGAGGCCAGCCTGGTCTACTTAGTTCCAGGACAGCCAAGGCTACACAGAGAAACCCTGTCTCAGAAAAAAGCAACAAAACAAACAAAGGTTTGAACTCTTGCCTGTGAAAAGGGTGGCACTGACCTCTTTTTAAACATACAGCAAAAGGAGTGAGCCATCTTCCTAAGGGTCCTTCTGGAGTAGAACCCTCTGATTAATTCACTCCCTTCTTCAATTTGATGTTCCCACACACATTTATCAAGCACCTTGGGACAAGGGCCCCACCAGGCCAAGGGTTCTTCAAGGCAGGAATACATCAACAACTTGGAGTAGATGGAAGGTCGAGGTGAGCAGGCACACAGGGCCTGGCCTGGGCTGAGGGTGGTTGAAAGCAAGAATCAGACAGCCTTGCCAGCATATCCTGAGGTGGGGCAGATAGGAACAAAAACTCAAACCCTCTATTGGCTCCTCCCTTTGGCTCAGGGTGTGCTCATAAATACACAAGTCTTCACCTCTGGCCTGGATTGCTAGCCTCACATTCTACGTGGTGATTGACCCCAGCCTCCCTCAGGCCACTCTCCATACTGAAAATACAGCCAGTCCAGTCAGAGGCACAACCTGACGTCATGACAACTCTCCAGCAACTGGACAGGGAGTGGCTCCCCTAACTGGGAGGAAAGGAGATGCAGACTGGAGTATCAGAGGAGTCCCCGAAAGAGGGTCAGGTGGGCACTACCTGGAAGTGACACAATGGACAGTGGGGTGTAGGAGGGTGTAGGACCTGAGTGTTCTGCCCAGAGCTGGGCACCAAACACACAGTCACCTGCCTTGTTTAGTTTAGTCCATCCCTGACTCAGTTCTTTCAGCTCAGTAATTTCCAGGTGAGCTCTAGCTCAGCTATTCTCATTTTCTACATTACTAACATTCCAAGTTTCACTCCTTTTGCCTTAGGTTTAAAAAGAGAAACAACTTCTGAAGCTGGGGGAGGGGCTAGGGCAAATGTAATGACTAAAGAACAGATTAGAACCCAGCACACAAGATAGTGCACAAGTACCTTAAGCACTGTCCTGAACTTGTCACCCTCAGCCCCTGTGTTGGTTGACTGGCTGTCCCCAGCAGAAGTGTTTATTTAATCAAGATCTTGGGCCCTGCTGTGACTGACTTGTGTTTCTACAAGGAAGGAAGGAGGGAGGGAGGGAGGGAGGGAGGGAGGAAGGAAGGAATGAAAGAAATCAGATCATAATGGTAAGGCCCTAATCCAACCAAAGAGTGTCTTTATAAGATGTGGTAGTCAATGCTCTTTGTTGTTGTTATGTTTTGTTTGTTTGTTTGTTTGTTTGTTTGTTTTTGAATCAGGGTTTCTCTGTGCAGTGTTGGCTGCCCTGGAACTCACTCTGTAGACCAGGCTGGCCTCAAAAAGCTCACAGAGATCCAACTGCCTCTCCCTTCAGAGTGCTGGGATTAAAGGCATGTGCCACCAGCGCTAGGCAGTCAGTGCTCTTTAGTCCCAGCATTCATGATGGCAGAGGCAGGCAGATCTCTGAGTCCTGGGCCAGCCTGGTCTACCTAGCAAGCCCCAGGCTAGCCAAGGCTGCATAGTGAGATGCCATGTATTAACAAAACAAAAAACAGAGGGGGTAGGGGTGGATAGCAGAAGCTGGTGTGGTAGTACACACTTGTAATCCCAGCACTCAAGAGGCAGAGTGAGGCAAGAGGGTCAGGAGCTCACCAGGCCAACCTGAACTACATACTGAGCCTTTATCTCCAAGAAAAGAAAGCAACAGCAGGGACTGAGCAGAGAAGAGGCCATGTCCTCATACACAGAAGGCAGAGGCAGAAACCAACCCTGTGATGAGGTTGGATCTTCAGCCTCACCATGAGGAAACACTCCTCTGCAATTTGGCAGTTTGAGCCTCCAGTCTGTGGTACTGTCGGAGCTCCCCAATGTACATGTTAAATGTGCAGATTTACAGCTCCCCCCAGGCCCAGAGGCAGAATCTCTCCGAGTTTACAGGCCCAGAATTCAGCTCCATGCTCTGGGATGAAGCGGCCATCAAGCACCTTTTTCTGAGCTCACAGGTAGCAGTGCATACTAAACCCTTGACCTCTGGTCACCAGCTCCTCTAACCACCAACCCTCCCTTGTCTGTGCCCAAGAGGAGCTGACATCTTACCCAGCTCCCAGGTTATTACCAGGTCACTCTGTCAAGTTGCTGCGTTTTTCTCATCCCCTCTTTGAGCCTCTCTCCCACAAGCCAGGCCTGGACTAGGATGAATGTGAAGTCTAGAAGCCAGAAGATAATTGAGATCCAAGCACTCCTGGCCTGTGGAGAGAACTATATGTGGCTGTGGCTAACCCTGACTGGGCAGATCCTAAGCACCACAGAAGGGACCTCTTGACCCAGGAGCATGAACAATGGATTCCAGCCACAGAGTTCTATACAAATGGTTTCCTCTTGTACTTCTCTGCCTGTGAGCCAGTGAGGGAAGTGCCCTTTTCCACCCTCCTCCCTTCTCTACCCAAAACCCCAGACACACACCTCTGCCTGCCTCTTGTGGGTTTGCCGCCCTCTGGTCGCTGTGAGCTTCCCTAGCCCCCCAGGTGCTGGGGGTGAAGCCCTGAAAGTCCAGAACCCAATCTGCCGGGAGAGATACGTGTTTTTAGAGTCAGGTAACCCAGGCCTCTGAGTCTGTTTTTCCACTGACTAGCTGTGCAGTGGGTGTAACCTCAGACAAGTCAGATCATGTAGAGACACGTCGCTGTTTGCGTGGAAACGAACGTCCACAGGCTTCAGCACAGCGGCCCGCACAGGGCCCCCTTAACTCATTCCTTGCAAAGCAATGGCTGGCCCTCTGTGAAATGCTGGTGAAGATAATGGAAGCCTCCCAGAGGTAGCTCCTTCATCCTGTCTGGCTCACAGGCATTGACTGAGCAGCCACCTTTCAGGTTGCTCACAAGCCCAGGCCTCAGTCCAAAGGCAGGACTTCTAGTTCACCCTTGCTTCCCCAGCACCAATCAGGCAGTGGGTACACAGCTGAGGCTTGGTCATTGTTGAATGACAGTGATGAGTAAATAAATTTAGTAAACAAATGGCTCTTTAGTCAGACCTCTTGCAAAGTCCCTTGACTTCTCAGTCCAGAGGTGTTTGGCTCTGGACCTGCTAAGCAGGACTGATTAATAACAACAGGAAAATAACTAAACCCGCCGAACTGTGCTGCCCAACACTGTTGTAAATCCTGTGAGGTCCCAGCACTAGAGAGGCAGAGGCAGGAGAATCTCTGAGAGTTTGAGGCCAGCCTTGTCTGCATAGCTGGGATCCCAGCTAGGGATACATAATAAGGTCAAAAAAAAAAAAAAAAAAAAAAAAAAAAAAAAAAAGGGGAGCGGGGGGGGGCAAGCACACAGCTTTAATCCAAGCACTCTGGAGGTAGAGGCAGGTAGATCTCTTGAGTTTGAGACCAGCTGGTCTACAGAGTGAGTTCCAGGACAGCCAGGGCTACACAGAGAAACCCTGACTTGAAAAAGCAAATCCAAACCAAACCCAAAAAAGATAAAAGAAAGGAGAAAAAAAAAAAAAAGTTGGAATGGTGGAGCACGCCTTTAATCCCAGCACTTGGAAGACAGAGGCAAGTGGATCTCCGAATTCCAGGCCAGCATGGTCTACAGAATGAGTTCCAGGACAACAGCCCGGGCTGCTACACAGAGAAACCCTGACTCAAAAAAACGAAAAAAAAAAAAAAAGAAAAGAAAAGGAAATAATGTACACTTTGTAGTCGAGGAAACTGAGGTACAAAGAACAGAGGAAGCCTTCCTGAGGGAGATGATTACGTTTGAGAGGAAAATCTGAGCTCAGGCTGGTCAAGCCAAGGAAGACGCGGCTTTGGGAAGAACTGCTGACCTTGCCGAACAAACACTGTCCCGAATTCAGGAGCCTGGCCTCTCCCTGCGTCTCCATGGCAACAGTCTGCACATGCGCTTTGCGGACCGAGTCTAGGCCTGGCGGAAGCAGGGTATGCTGCCAGGACAAGAACGCTGGGCGGGCTTTTAAAAGATCCGTCCCTCCCCCAGTCAGCCTGCAGGCGGGCACTGTGAAGGTTGGTGGTCCTAGGAGTCGGAATTGAGGAGGCAGAGGCGAAGGGGGGCTGTGAGACCCTCGGAAGGCGATAAAGGCAGAGGGGGCTTGTGGAAATACCTTCCCAGGGCAAGGATGGGCTTGCCCTGGTATTGCTCCCCAGAGAGCGATGTGGAGGAGGGGGAATGGCAGGGAAATGCACCTTCGGGACGGGACGGGGAGCCAGGCTCCAAGGGAGAGCCAGAGAGAGAGATTAAGGACCACGAGGCCGGCAGGAGGTAATGGTTACCCCTCTCTCTCCACTCCTACTCCCAGTTCTCTGCCACATCCTTACCTTACTGGCGTGCTCCACCATGGCCAGACCTCCTATGCACGGTTCCGTGATTGTCCTAGACTGGCATGAGACAGTCGAGGGCAAGGAGTACTTAGCCTGTATCCTGCGCAAGAACCGCCGACGGGAGTTTGGTAAGCGCTTTTCCGCCCCCGCCCTGCCCCCCCCACCCCCCCAGGCGTCTTGTAGCTCCTTCACTCTTGACCCGCCCTGGGACCACAGAAGCAGGACGGTGGGACCTGCCCCATCCCACTTCTCGCCACTGAGGCCTCCCAGGTGCCCTGTGTCTAGTGTCTCTTCTAGTCACGTGCCCCTTCACCCAATCTCCCTAAAGCTAATTCCACCAACAGAGCCAGGAGCATGGCAACAGCCCATCCCTGCCAACAGCCACTGTCACCAGAGATGCTGAGCCCTCACCTGGGGTCATGCCCTCTGCTGGGCACTTTGCACAGTGGCCTGATGCAACCTTGTTTTACACCGGGTTTCACACTGTAACCAGAACTTGTTATTTACACCAGGCTGGTCTTGAACTCACAGAAATCCATCTGCCTTTGTCTTCCAAGTTCTGGGATTAAAGGCGTGTTCCATCATTCAACCTTTTTTTCTTTTTCGATTTTCTTTATTTTTGTTTTGTTTTTTTTTTCAAGTCAGGGTTTCCCTGCTTCTCTGTGTATCCCTGACTATCCTGGAACTCACTCTGTAGACAAGGCTGATCTTGAACTCAGATCCATCTGCCTCTGCCTCCTGAGTGCTGGGATTAAAGGTGTATACCACCATGTCCAGACTATTCAACTTTCTTAACAGCACATTTAAGAGATTTCTTTAGGATCATGTCCTAGTGAGGAAAGGAACACCCTTCAGCATCTTGCCTGTTGTCTAGGGTAAGACATGGGGCTCCCCAAGAATAAGGCAGATTACTCAGGCACGGCCCTGGTTAACAGGCCAACAGGCTGAGGCGTAGCTCAGTGGCAGGGCTCTCACATAGCATGCCAGGGGCTGTTCCGTCCCGGGTATCACAAAGAAGAAAAGAACTTAGTACTTCAGGACTTTACATCATTAGACTACAGACTATTATCATTTTGACCTTTTGGTGTGCAAGTTCTTTATTATTAAATATTTTATGTGTTTGGGTGTTTTTCCTGCCTGTATATCTGTACATTACATGTATGCAATGCCACAGAGGTTAGAGAGAAAAGGAAGACAGATCCCCTGAGACAGAAGTTACAGACAGTTGTAAGCCGCCATGCGGGTGCTAGGAATCCAACCCCTGTCCTCTGGAAGAGCAGCTCAGCAGTTAAGAGCACTAGCAGCTTCCCACAGGGCCTAGGTTGAGTTCGTAGCATTCACAAGGCGGATCACAACCGCCCATCACTCCAGAACCAAGGAATCAACCACCCTCTTCTGGCCTCTGCGGGCACCAGGCACGCACATGCTATGCAGACATAAATGCGGGCACTCATCAAAATAAATACATGAATAAATCTTTAAACAAAATCAACACCAAAGAACGTGTTTGGGGCTCAGTGAGATGGCTCAGCCAGTGAAGTGCTTGCTGTCAACCTGGGGTCTCCAGAAGCCATGATGAGGTGGAAGAAGAAAACCAACTTCACAAAGTTGTCCCCTGACCTTCACGAACATATCCCCCCCACATACACACACATCATGATATACATAAGTACTTAATTAAAACCTCACATTGGTTATCTCTTACACATGTGAAGTTTGAGCTGGGGTCAATTGTCACTAATGATGGTAGTGAATATAATTTGTAAATAACTCACTTAAAAAAAAAAAGTATAAGGGCTGGAGAGCCAGCTCAGGACTTAAGAGCACTGGTTCCTCTTCCACAGGACCCAGGTTTAATTCCCAACACATACATAGTGGCTTACAACTGTCTGTAACTCACAGTCCTAGAGAATCCAACACCCACTTCATGCTTCTGCAAGCACCGGGCACACACATGATACACAGACATACAGATACATGCAAAAACACCCAGTGTTTTATCTTTGTTAACAGTGAAGCGTGTCTAGAGGAGTACACTCTCCAGGCCCCCAGCAAAAGAGCTAGATAGAGTAGCTGACAATGGTGAATGGACCAAGGATGAGGTCTCAACCATCTCTGTGTATCCTGGGCCTCTGGAGCAGAGCCCAACCAACGCTGAGAACCAAGCTGGCTAGTTAGCTTTCAAGATAGGCTGTCTCTCCCAGGGTCTGAGCAAGGGCGGAATTGACTCCTCCCCAACTGGCTGGCTCCCTCTTTGCCACAGGGTTGCTTGAACGGCCGGTGCCGCCCCCTTCGGTAGCCATTGATACAGCCAGCTACAAGATCTTTGTGTCTGGGAAAAGTGGTGTGGGCAAAACAGCGCTCGTGGCGAAGCTGGCAGGCCTGGAAGTGCCCGTAGTGCACCATGAGACCACTGGTGAGTGGGGTTAACCCTCAGCCCACCCGTGGTGGTCTTCCATGGGATGGGGACAAGAACCTGGACCCAGACTGCATCAGTGGGGGTTTATACATAGTTAGGCCGTTTCCTCTGTGATCTTGGGAAGCCGTGTTGTTCAGATTGGAACTAGAGACAGTGGAAGCCACATGCCTCCTGTCCAGTTGGTACACAGGTAGAAGCTTTCACATCCCCCATCATGTGTCCCAGGACCTTTGAGGTCTCCCTCCATAAGCACTGAGACTGCTTTTCCTGGCGAGGACCCACTTGCCTGGTTAACCAGGGATTCCTGCAGAGTTAGACTGTTACTTCCTGGGTCTGAGGATTCTCCCAGGTCAGGGACCATGCCTCCATGTCAGAGTGCTGACCCACCCCCGCCCCATCCCATTTCTGAATGGCTGATCCCAATTCTCCTCAGGGATTCAGACCACTGTGGTGTTTTGGCCAGCCAAGCTAAAGGACAGCAACCGCGTTGTCATGTTCCGTCTTGAGTTCTGGGACTGTGGGGAGTCTGCCCTCAAGAAGTTTGACCACATGCTGCCGGTGAGCTGGGCAAGTGGGCCTGGGTGGACTGTGGGTGGAGGCTGTTGTCAGGGATCCGCCCTGTCTGTAGGAGCCTGGCTCGAACGCATGTTACCTGAGGGCAGCATGCTGGGCTGCAGGGTTCCACTGGCACTGGGGACAGGTCCTCACCACTCACTGCTCGAGCTGTTTCCCAGCCTGTGAAAGGAGGGGTTGCTACTGATTCTTGGGCTCCTGAAGCTGGTCAGAGGGTTCTAGTCCCATGTGATTATGTGGCCACATGGCAGTATGCCATTAGTCCTACTTGGGTATGTGGTTAAGTGGCAGTTTCCTACAAGATAGCCTCTCTGTCCTTAGGCTTGTAAAGAGAATGCGGATGCCTTCCTGTTCCTCTTTTCTTTCACTGACCGTGCTTCCTTTGAAGACCTTCCTGGACAGTTGACCCGTGTAGCTGGTGAAGCACCTGGGGTGGTCAAGATTGTTATTGGCTCCAAGTATCCTTTGAGTGGCCCCTGGGATGTGATGCTCCTGGTACCTGTCACCCTGGGAGGTCTAACCTTTAGGTTTCCCTTAAAGGGGATCCAGAACCTACCACAGCCCCTAGGTGTGGCCTCTGGAGAGAAGGCCAAGGCTGGGCCTGATGCGGTGGTGAGCAGAGCCTCTTGGCTAGGCGCCTTAACCCTCCTCCAGGTTTGACCAGTACATGCACACGGACGTGCCGGAGCGAGACCTCACAGCCTTCCGGCAGGCCTGGGAACTGCCCTTGTTTCGGGTGAAGAGTGTGCCAGGGCGGCGGCTGGCGGATGGACGTACCCTGGATGGGCGGGCCGGGCTGGCTGACACTGCCCATGTGCTCAATGGCCTTGCAGAACATTTGTGGCACCAGGACCAGGTGGCAGCTGGCCTGCTGCCCAGTTCCCCAGAGAATGCTCCGGGCTGAAGGATGGTGGCATCCTGAGTAGAGACTGGGACTCATGATCCCCACTTATCCATCCCTTGGATGACCAGGAAGATGGTGGGACCGAGGGCCCAAGGCTGATGCAGGAACACTCTTCTACCCTGAGGACTGGTTGGGGAGGGCTCTCACATGATGGCAATGTGGGGACACAAGGCTCCAGAGCTGAAAGGGCTCCTAGCTCCACTACCCTTCACCCTTCTGCAACACCCACAGAGGGTATGGTGTCGGGGAGGGGGTTACTCAGAAGGACCCTGGACCTCTCTTGACTTTAGCCAGGGGCCTTATCGTTTGAAGTCACACTATCCGCTCTAACAGATAAACTGAAATCTCAGTGGCTGGACTCCGTAGAAGTGGTTTTTTGCTCCCTGAACTTTATTCTGAGTCATTCCGAAGTTACCAGCGTTCAGTCAGCATAAAGGAAGTGAGCGCATATAGAAGGCTACCAGAGCTTTCTGTGGACACACTGCATTGACTGGCATCCAGTCCCATGAAGCTAGAAGGGAGCCTGAGGCAAGTGGTCCACCTGCGTATCCAGGAAGCTAGCCATTCACTCTGGTGACCCTTGACCTTCATGGCTATGAAGCTGTAAATCTGCCTTTAGGCAAGGGCTTTGCCTAAGAGTAAGGGAATATCACTGGCTATGGTGAGGACCCTCCCTACTGAGTAGGGGGTGGGGTAGGACAGTGGCTCTCAACCTGTGGATCAAGACCCTTCTGGTGGTTGAACGCTTTCTCAGGGGTTGCCTATGACCATCAGCAAACACAGGTATTTTCATTATGATTCATAACAGTAGCAAAATTAAGTACGAAGTAACAATGAAAATTATCTTATGGTGGGGATCATCACAACATGTGGAACTGTATTAAAAGGTCTCAGCATTAGGAAGATTGAGAACCACGGGAGTAGGGGGTGAGGGAGCCTGAGTTAGCTCTCCTGTATGGGAGGTTGGTGAGGAAGGAGGGTGAGTGTGAGCAAGGGCACAGTGAAACCACTGAACTAGACCATTCCATGGGTAGAAGGAAAGGTTTATTGGGGATCAGACTGCCAAGGCTATGGGGTGGGAGTGGGGGCAGAGATGTAGGGAGAATAGCAAAA